ATTTTATAATAATTTGTTAATACTTAAATCTTGAGTCTTAATTCTGTGAAGTTTCTCAAATTTATATTTTATTTTGGACCTATAGATGAAGATTTTTTATATTTTGTTTTGAGCATTTTAAAAAAATTTATTCACAGGGAAGCAAAGATCAACTAAAAGAGGTATGGGAAGAGACTGATGGATTGGATCCTAATGACTTTGAGCCCAAGACATTTTTCAAGTTACATGGTAATAGATTTGATACAAATTTTAAGATTTACATCTACTGTTTGAAAAATTATTTGATATCTGCCAAAGTTTGCTGTTGAGTCCTATTGATAGTAAATGTGTAGAGTTTTTCCCTAGGGTAAATAATAGTCTCTATTTATGATGTGCAGTATGAAATATTTTAGGTCAGTAGCAGTGTCTTTATACCTGCTTTTATTGTTGAGTCATTATGACTAATTGCAAGATTCTCTGTAAACTGAAGGTATTTCTGTGACTAGTTTGGCTAGTCATAACATGCTTTCTGCTTTAATATTACAGTTTACTTTTGCTCTTATAGCATATTGTTTTACTTTATATTTCTGGAAAAATTGGTTAAGGTATGGTTTTCAAATTATTATGAGTTATAAATAAGTAGTAAATTGTTATCAGTTTGACTGATCTGAGGCTCCATAAAAAAGAAGAAACATTTTTCTGTATCATATTGATGCTTGATGTCAGTACTATTTTTGTAAACTATTTGTAAATAGTTATACTTTATTTTCTAAGGCTTTAAAATTAAGTTTTGCATTTGTAACTTTTAAACTTTAGATGTCAACAATGATGGCTTCCTGGATGAACAAGAATTAGAGGCTCTATTTACTAAAGAGGTAAATGAGTTCATTAAGTATTCAGTGTTTTTGCTCTCTCTTTTTTCCTTCTGTTATCTTCCTTTTATGTTTTTTAAAAATTTTCTTTTTAGTTGGAGAAAGTATATGACCCCAAAAATGAAGAGGATGATATGGTAGAAATGGAGGAAGAAAGGCTTAGAATGAGGGAACATGTAATGAATGAGGTATGTTTTAAAAGTTTAAGATTATATGTTACTTCAATGGATTATTCAAGTTCTTGCAATCTTGCAATAAATCTTACTATAAAATGGAAAATAAATATACAGAATAGGTTTTTAATTGGATTTTGCATTTTTGATACATAATATTTAATAGATTCCATTAGTGTAAGTATTAGTTTGCAACTACTTTAAATGCTTAAAAAGATTAGGATGTTGCTGCATATATATAAAACATTCTTGTACAAGTAGAAAATAATACAGCCCAATATTTGATATTTTAAAGGGCTCTATTACTTTTTACTAAGAAAATCCAAAAAAACTCAGTATCTTAAAGGTTTATTACAACAAATGTTTATTTCTTGTTCACATTATTAAGTTGAAAATTCTGATACATTTATTATAGGCAGGCTAACTAAAGTGCACTGTTTTCACCTGATATTTGATTTTCACCTGATATTTGAAGATATATTATGATTTCTATTTACTGTTGGCATCCTAACTTTCTAATGAATTTCCTTAGCCATTATAGAGTTCACTTTTGTAACTGAATTTGCCATAGTCCGTAACTGCTACTGAAGAGAATTTGGAAAGGTTGTCAACTTTAGTTTTGATTTAGTTAGTTGTTAGTTTTTAGGAAAAAATATTGAGAATGTTTTAACTTAAACTCCTTTACTCTTGGCTAAAACAGCCCTCTTTCTGGGAAAGGTTTCAAGAAAGATGATACATGGTGTAGTGAGGGAGGATGACAGTATTAGCCTAACCAGTCATTATCAGCAGGTGCAAACTTGGTGATACTGAGGGTATCAGGTATATATATCTCACTGTATTTTCAAATCTGAATTATATAGAAGAGAAAGTTGTCTATTTTCCAATTTTAGTATAATTTTGAGAGTTCTGTTTTTCTCCCCCCGTTTTCATGAATGTTAGGTTAGCCCTAGTTGCTCTGTGTTTCTATAGTAGCATCTATTAGAAGACAGTTTCTAGTGTCTAAGTAGTATGAGAAAGAATTACTTTATTTTACATACATATTTTCCTTTAACCAGGTTGATACTAACAAAGATCGATTGGTGACTCTAGAAGAGTTTTTGAAAGCTACAGAAAAAAAGGAATTCCTGGAACCAGATAGCTGGGAGGTAATACACACTACTTGAAATAGAATGTATGCTTCAAGAAATTCTACATCAGTCTATTTTACTTTTAACTTTTATTTCCCATTATGTTTGCATGTATAGTGTTACCATCTTGGCTTTTCCTATAAAATATTACTGTAAAATAATGAACTTGATTTCTTGGAAAGCTTATGGCAATTGATCTCTTGTTTGTAATCACATTATATAATCAGAAGTCTTTTTAAAATTGTATTTTTTATAAGTGTAAAATAATCTTCATTCTTGAAAATGAGAAATATAGATATATTTAAGGAATAGATTAGAATTTAATTATAGGTAATACCATCCAGAGGTAGATACTTAAATTATGTATTATGTTATGCCAATTTGGAAATAGTTTATATATTTAGTACATGCATATATAGCACACAGTATATAAGTAGTGTACTGTCCCCTTTTTACTTTATATATACACATAAATTCATATCTCTCTATTTTTAAATAGCTTTATACTATATAAATGACTTTGTTTTGAAATTGTTTTTTTAAAAAATTAAACAGCATTTCACAAATATTTTCCAATGTCATTACTCAAAAACATGATTTAAAAAAATGACTACTTACAAGCCTGAGAAAAATAAAATTGGGCAGCTTGATCAGAAAAAAAAAAAAAAACTACTTATGCAGTCATGTGATTGTGACATAATCACCTTTCAGATTTTGACATTTTGGAGTTAATTCCAAATTTTTATTGTAATAAATGACATGATAAAGACTATCCATTTGTTCATACATTTTTTGACATCTTTGATGATTTCCCTGGGACTAATTTGTAGGAATAGAACTAGTCTTAGAGTTTAGGAACATTTTTAGTTTCTAAATATATCTTGTCAAATTGCTCCAGGAAGGTATACCAATTTGCACTATAGGTTACTGCATGTAAATGAGTGCATACACATATTTAAAATACTGGTTGAGAGGTACCAACAAAGATAGAGTGACGAAAAAAAAAGGTCTTTTTCTGTATAAAATATAAAATAAAAAGATTACTATTTTAATTAGATTTTAATTGTCCAGAAAATAGTTTGAGATAGGGTGACTAACTGTTCTGGTTTACCCAGGACTGAGTTTCCTGGAATGTGGAACTTCTCAGTGCCAAAACTAGGACAAATTGTGACATTGATCATCTTAGTTTGAGATGAAAGAAACCAGCTTGTTTTTCTCATAAGTTTTTGTTTAACATTTGAAATATTTCTGGACTTTGGTGAAGAACAAGAATGCTAAGATTATTTGAACATGCATTCCATTTAGTACTTTTTGGTGAAGTAGGTCGATAGATAATTATATACTTTTTTTCATTTGGACATGATCTCAGATTTACAAAAAAGTTGAAGGAATAGTCAAGGAATTCCTGAATACCCTTCATCTAGATTTCCTATTTTGCTATATTTACTTTAACTTTCTCTATTTTTAAACTCTGTGTTTATATATAAATGTAATTATTTTTTAGATTAAGTTGCACAAGATTCTTCTTTAACCTTAAACACCTGTTTATATTTCTTACAAATAAGGATTTATCTTACATAATTACAGAAAAATTATTAATGTTACACACAAAATTCTTTTCTAATCTCTAGACTTTGCAATTTTTGTCAGTTTCCCCAATATTGTCCTTTATAGCAAAAGAAAATCCAAGATCATGTATTGAATTTAGTTGTAACGTCTTTTAGTCTGCCTTCACCTGAAGCAGTTCTTGAGTCTTTGTATTGCATGACATTGATATTTCTAAAGAGTACAGACCAGTTATTTTGTAGAATGTCTCTCAGTTTGTCTGCTGTTCCCTTATGATTTCAGCTCTCAGGAGGAATACCACTGAAGCGATGCTAAGTGCATCATATCAGGAAGCATATCCTTCTGATTATTCTTATAACTTACAATGTTAACTTTGATATTTGGTTAAGCTGGTGTCTACCAGTTTCCATGTGGCAATGTGACCAGCCAAAAGTTAGGATTCTTTAACCAAGGAAGAAGGGAAGAGGGAAAGTTTGGCAACTTTCAGTGTTAACCCAAACAGCTTTGTGGGCTACCTACATATCTGTGTACACTCGTCTGAAACATAGAAAGTACTTACTTCCCCCACCCGAAAAGGAAACCACTAAAATCCAATCCATTCTTGCATATATCTCAAAGACCATTCCTTGACTATTCCTGTAGTTACTATTTTATCTTCTGTGATTTAAAAAGTATCTTATTTAACCCACCATACTACCAGAATCAGAAGTCAGCTTTTTTTAAATCCACTAATTATAAAACAAGTAAGTCACGGGAATGAAAAGTACAGCATAGGGAACATAGTTAATAATATTGTTATAACTTTGTATGGCGACAAATGGTAACCACACTTATTGTAAACATTTCATAATGTATGTCATTGTTGAGTTGCTATGTTGTACACTTGAAACTAATATAGTATTGTATGTCAACTATACTTCAATTAGGAATAAGAATTTTTTTTTTTTTTTTAGATTAGTATTTTTTATTGAAGGGTAGTTGACACACAGTATTACATTAGTTTCAGGTGTACAACACAGTGATTCAACATTTATGTACATGATAATTCTAGGTACCAGCTATCACCATACCAAGTTGTTACAATATTTTGACTATATTCCTTATCCTATACATTACATCCCGGTTACTTATTTATTTTA